CAGCCTGGTGTTCAGACTACATGAAAGCGGCGTTATCTGTGAACATGCAGCTTGAATTCGTATACGAGGCAAGGCAGTCTCTAGGCAACACAAAATAGTATACTTTTGGAATTTTAATCTCATATTGATTGTATACTACAACAAAAATACCTTGGATGACCGAAGATACTAAGTCCGTTTTAGTGTGAATGCTAATTTTTTATGTGGTAGACAGGCATGCACATTGAAGGTAAACTTCATGTAAACGCCCGCAAATGCTATGTAAGCTGTGGATGCTTCGCTCTGTGAACGTGATATAAACGCTGCGTTGCTCTGTTACATCTTGACGAAAATATAAATATCTAGCCAAATAAATGGCTCTAGGTGGATGACAACAGCGTGCAGAGGCTCTCTACATACATATCTTATGAATGGTTTTGCGCAAGGCCAGATCCCTCCAAATAGAACTGCATGACTAGTGCTCGATATCGCTTTAGAAGACTTTATGCCGAAACGGAAGCTCCGCGAACGGACTTGATCCGACCTCCTTTGGCCGTGAGAAGCTCTGGCGAGCTCTAGTGCCAATCAAAGGCAGGTCAGCTACGGCTCCAGTGCCGGTAATGCGCAGTCGAGTAGTGCGGACAGTAATTTAAGGGATCAATTCCGCCAATTTCACTTTGTGATATCAGACGAGTGCGATTTGATCAGTGCGACCAGTTTTCTAGAAATCTTTCCGAATAAATCAGAATTTATATTTGAAGTAGCCGACACTGGGGGAGATATCTTATTTGACTCCCTCCCCACCACTACGAAAGTGAGACGTTGGATTTTCCTCGATTTTTTCACCAAGGGTGCTCTGTAATGTTTGCACACACTAAGGTGTCAAATTATTTGTGTGATAGATGCTGTGAAAGCTTGGAACCCTCTGTTTAGACTGAACTATGTGCGGACATGGAGCTATTATCCCGCGAACGTAACAAAATATTTTACTATGGCTTTGATGTCTGCCCTACAGCGTTTGCCGCCGTGGCCCTTTTCGAGGCGGAATTTGGCTTTGTGAAACGGGGTATCACATGATCCATGTGACGCACTGGTTCAAACTTCAACCAACCAACTTCTCGGTAACAGGCTCTTGCCCGCTGGGTCAATCACAGACGTTATTTTATTGGCCCCAGGAGCGGTGTGTACGGTCGTTGTCGTGACGACGGGCCTGCGACTGCAGGGAAGCAGTGTATTGGCATTGGGTAGCGCTGTTACAAAGCGTTGGCAGCGTAATTTGGACTCGAAAATATTTGAAATTTATAACCTTATTATGTCTTGTCGATGCTGCAGTGGCGGTCAAAGATAACGATGCTGCTGCAACGTTATCATGACCATCCATGAGGTCATGATAACGTTATTCCAATCCTGACATTTCATTAGTCATGTAGCAATCAAGGCCAAGAAAAGTACAATGTTCGAGTCGGTCATCTTTAGGGTTCGTGAACACGATTTTCAGATATAACGGTCGTCAGTTGGCTCTCAATCAGTGTTGAGCAATGTACGATGACGTAATCAGGCAATGACTTATTGAGGAGAATATTTACTAAGCAGAGAAGTTGTTTGTCTCGTCTTTTCTACTCAAAAGTGTGTCAGTAATTATCAGTGAGCTTATCATATCATAACTGATGCTTGTTTCAATATCTTCAAATGTGGAACATCCCCTTGCATGCACGAGAGGAGTGCGCGGTTGTGTGAACTCTCTACAATACGGGAAAAGCGTACATAAATCGCGTTTTTTATTGTGGTGGAAGGGCTACCGAGCTTATGAAGCGTCCGTTGTCTTTTGCCTGGCGTCTCCAAATACATTCCTCAAAAGCCGAACGACCGTTGTCACGTGCGGCATACCTTACGCACTGTACAACAGCCACATCAATGGCAGCCCGGGATCAGAGCCGGACAAGCCATCCGAACCCGCGTCCCTCTGATGAGCTGGGGTACACACCACCGCCTCGTGCATTATGAAGACGGCGACGCGTGCGGCCCGGCGCCGATGCCATCGGGTGATGAACGACAGCTCTGTCGGCTGATGACGGGCGGACCCGGCACCTGCCAGGGGACAGGTGGTCACACAAACCGCACGGGGGTGTAGCTCGCGGCGGCGGCGGACCCCGAGCGCCGGCACAATGTGACAGCGTCGAGGCTTGGATTTAGGTGTGCTGACATTCGGCAGCGCCTGCTGTGGAAGAATTCGCCTGAAATTCGCAGCAGGACGGTTGGAGTGGCCCGCCAAGGCTCCGTTGGTGACGCAGGTAAGCGCATTTTTGGTGGTCAGGGAGCACGTTTTATCTCAATGCCATGCCCACGCTAATTGTCGGACCAGGTGCCTCCTAGGTTCTACTAGACATAGTCGCATAACCGGCACTCTAGCATGAAACTTTGGGTTGAGTTTCTCCGGCTCAATTTTTTTGCTTGCAGACTTTTGTATCGCGCACCTGTGTCTAACATTTATTCGTGCGAATATTTGTAGACGCATCTTCGCAAACGCAACGCTTTGTGCGGCAAACCCGAATGCAAAGAAACTTGTAGCCACAAAAACGGCTGCCACTCAATAGTGTGTGTGATGAGTTTTTCTCATTGTTTTTCTCACATGCCCATCTACTCTCATCGATTTCATCGTAAGCGTAATTATTTACATTCGGAAATCCTGCTATTAAATTTCTTCGCACGCGCAAATTTCCGCGTCGTAATTTTGGCTTGTGCATTTATCTGTACCGCATTTCTCTGCGAACGAATTTATTCGTGCCGATCGCTCCGTATACGCTATCAATTGTATCGCATTTTGTCCCACACGTAATTCTTCGCACCGTGCTTAATGGAATTTACAATTTCCGTGTTGGTAAGTCTAAAAGGTAAAGTGAAGTAAGGCGTAGTCTATGACATAAGGTCATGTGATCCAATGACGTCGTCCAGTGATCACAAATAGAGATGTGTGCGTCTCCGCCAATTTAAGAGCCACCCAAGGCTTGGGCGCTATAACTTCCACGCATTTGAATTCCTTTATGCCACGTATCCCATTTCTTAGTTTGTGCAATTATTCGTGTCGCACTTTCCATGCATTTTATTGTGGCATCGCAGAGAATCATGCCATTTGGCAACTCCGTTTGTCATAAATGGGGTAAAAAAACACACTATATGTGATAATGTCACAGCACTCCTCAGAATACGGATCATAGCTAAGGAACAGAAGAGGGAAAGAATGGTGGAGGGCGAACAGCGTGATAACGGCAGAGGATGAGAAAGCAGCGAGGTCTCTGCTCCCAATATCATTTGTTTCATGCACAACATTAAGTACGTCCAAAAATGTTGCGCGATCACAACGTTTACGAATGGATGGCAAAAACTATTATCTGCAAACAAACGTAATACAAAGAATAACATTTGAGAATAGATAATATATGAAGGAACGCATATACAAAGGTATGCAATACGACGATTAATTTTCATAAACAAATGAGAGCGCACGATAAGACATGCGATGCGAATATTGGCGTATTTGAAGGACGGCTATATCAATAATGTGCATGCAACGTTTTTCACAATCAATCAAACAATTTGTGAAAAAGTTTTACGTGCGAGCACTTGCGACACGAGGGTTCTCGAACGGAGACTTGAGTACGAACCTCTACATCCGTGAATTATTGCAATACAAATATTGACGCACGAGGTTTGCAAACAAACAAAGGTCATGGGCAGTTTTTTCTGGTCACCCGGTCATCGAAATGCGCTTTGAGTGCATTTGGCTGCTCCTAGCCTTTTTCACTTGAGAGATGAAAGATGAAAGAGACGAAAGTGGACAGAGATAGCAGTGCATGATTTCAATTACTGAAACTGAGCTGACGTGCGACTTTCTCCACAGCTCAACACCATGAAGTCCACCGTGGCAGGCCTTGTGGCAGGCCTGGCTATTATGGCGGTCCGTGTTGACCAGGTGGTCTCGAACCACCAGCGAAGTAAGGACTCGAGAAGAGCAGTAAAAGGCAGCTGCTGAGCGTTTGGAGTGTGTTCCACCGGGGTCTCTCTCCCAATCAGGAGACCTATATTTGTCAGCTTCGTCTCTGATTAATTCTGTCAATGATGATGAATTATGAAGTCAAGAAGCTCGTTGTCATTTGGCTGTTCTTTAAAAAAAGCATTGCTGTGACCATGGCAGGTAGGCTTCTGAAATAACTGCTGCGGAGAGGTCAGGTTAGGCCACTTGGTGACTTGATCTGACCTTGGGAATGGACGCTTGGATTTTCGCTTAGATTCCAACACCTCCGGAATATTCAAGGCGCAGAGTGCATCGCAATGAATATCAGAATTTCAACAAACCTAACGTGATTCACGATATTCTGGCATCATCAGTTCGTCTTCGAGGCTAATGCTACTCAAAGCGATACTTGATTCTTGCACTTTGCTCAGATCCTTCTTGATCCATGAGAGTGAACCCTCTGTAACAACCAAAATTGTTGTGCACGTGCGAACGTTTCCCATTCATTTGGACTCCCACTTGTTTGCTAAAGTGAAGTTTCCTTCCTTTAGCACAACCAAGGCAGACGCATGCGCTGACCCCATTGTGCCGGTTACGACCTGACCTCACGCATACGCATACCTGAGCAGGTACGCCGCCAACACATGCATGATGACCGAGCGCGAAGCGTCTCGACCAAGGCTGCATGCGGCAGGTTTCAACTTGACGGACGCGGGCATGGCCAACCGCACCTGCTTCTCGTGCAGCCTCGACTTCCGCTACACGGCCTGGGACGGCGATAACGCGTGCCTGGGCTGGGCAGAGCAGGTGGCCACCGACTACCTGGTGGTGTGCGGCGCCCATCAGCTCATCTGCCAGGTCAGGCGGGCGCCCATCAGCTCATTTGTTAGGTCAGACGGGCGCCCATCAGGTCATCTTCCAGGTCAGGCGGGCGCCCATCAGCTCATTTGTTAGGTCAGACGGGCGCCCATCAGGTCATCTTCCAGGTCAGGCGGGCGCCCATCAGCTCATTTGTTAGGTCAGACGGGCGCCCATCAGGTCATCTTCCAGGTCAGGCGGGCGCCCATCAAGTCATCTTCCAGGCCAGGCGGGCGTCCATTAAGTCATCTGTCAGGTCAGGCGGGGCGGGCCGCCGGCCACCTTGGGAGTTCCAACCTGCCTGAGAATCGTGGGGTGGAGGCGTGGCTGGCCGCTTTGCCAACGTGCGCGCCTGGGCACTTGTTGGCAGGTGATAGGGAAGGTCGCTGACCTTGCGGGGTGCACTGTGTTTCACTTCTCAGTCCATTCAGACTGGGTCGACGTAAAAAAGAAAAAATGCGAGTAACCTTAGACGTGTAGGTGCCACGGAGTCATCAGTGATCGCGTGCCCACGCTAGATTCCAATTGGTATCCCAGCTAATAAAAAACAGCGCATGACGTCTAACTTTGAGCCGCAATTCCATTCATTCACCCTAGTATCCTCCGTGGTAAAAGCGCACGACTCGGCAGTCAGCTGTGAAGGGGAGACGTACATTGGCGCCCCAAACACTGGCTTGTGTGCTGCATCTGTGTCGGCCACTTCGCCAGAGGCAGGGAGCGTCAGACTGGCACGAAGCGGCATGGCATGACGGCAATGGCGTTCAAATATCAGCTTAAACTGATATGTTGAGCTGGAATTGCTGCACCGGAGTGGTCAGGATCTTCGAAACAAGCTATACTTTGCCAAGGGCCCTTGTCTCAACCGCCGCCCTTGAAAAGTTCCTGTCCAAATTTTCAGGCAGACACACACACACACACACACACACACACACACACCACACACAACACACACACACACAACACCACACACACACACACACAACACACACACCACACACACACACACACAACCACACATATATATATATATATATATATATATATATATATATATATATATATATATATATATGTGTGTGTGTGTGTGTGTGTGTGTGTGTGTGTGTGTTTTGGAATATTTTGGCAGATCCTTGCTTTATACATGTTTGATTAAAAAATTAAACAGCCAAACAAATTCTTGTACAACTCTTGAACTATAAGGTGATGGGCGGTGAGCAGTATTGATGTAATTGTCCCAATAGTGTTCTCATTGTATCGTTGTAGTGCTCCCATTATGAATGTATTTTATATGTATCAAAGTGAAAATAGGATTCTGTCTTGCTTCAATTAGTCATATTTCCCTTGTGTTCTCTATACCAAAAGATGCTTTCCCAATAGCACTGCACAATTTTTATCCTTTAAAACTAAAAAAATATTCATTTTGCCATTCAAACTTCTCCGCCGATTAGATAGGATGTCAAAACGTTAGAATGTAAAGAGCGACGAAGATATGAGTAATTTTGTGCAAACCATCTTTAACCTAAACGATAATGCCAAGTCCAAAGCCAGGAAGCTAGAACGACACGTCAAAAAGCTCGTCAATGCTGAGCCAGCAGTATGTATCAAATATAGATATACAACATGTATATATATATATATATATATATATATATATAATATTAAGAGCTCTTTCTTACATTTTCTTGCTTTCGCTGCTCAATAACTTTTTTTCATTGCATCAAGTAGAATATTGATCGTCAGCAACTGTGTTCTGCAATGGTATACAACCTAAACCTAGAAATGTTGAACTGTTTCTTGGCAATTAAAACATTCCTGCAGTTTGTTTTATATCAGGTACGGCGTGAAGTGCAAATACTAGATGACGCCCTGAGCTTTTTAGAAGAGACCAATGCTAAATTGTCTGTTCCCTGTACGTACGGCTTCCGACTGCAAAACTGCAACAGGAGCTGAAGCACCACTCTTGAGGGCTGCGGAAATCACCCACACAGGACACATCTCGCACGTTTCAGGAGTCGTGGGTTCGTGCAAAACGGCATCCTGCTGCTGCTAGCGAGGTCCTGCACCGACTCCTGCGCCGCATACTGCAAGTCCACCGGCTTCGGGGTCACCAAGACCACCTGTAACCACTGCTGCGAGGAGGATGGCTGCAATGACAGCCGGCCGACCCTCTCGGCCACCGGGCAGTAAATGCGAAGCCAGCGCCTCGCGACCAAAGACATGCTTCACGGCTCCGCGACCAAAGACATGCAAAGACGGCTTCGGTGACCAGAGGCCGAGTGGGCCGGAAACGAGACAAGAAGCGCCTCAAGCGGGGCGGGGAAGCTGCGGGGCCAGGCTCGATCGCGCCACTGGAGGCCGTGTTGTTGCCTATTGTGGTGATATCTGAAGGCGTGGTGTTCCGAGGGAGCTGTGCAGTTTTTGGCAAAATATTCGGTGACCTCTCGGTGTTTCCACAAATATAAAACGACTGATGTTCTGTCCACTCGAGAACCCCGTCAACCGAATTGTGACGATGTGCGATGTGGCCTCACTTTTGCAGCAGGCAGCGCTGTCCAAATTGCAACATTAGATATTAGTATACGCTATTTATTGGCTGCTTTTGCACCTTCCTACCTACTGCATATGGTATAAATATCAGAGGTGGCACTGACAAATTTACTCGATATTTTCAATGGTTATCAAGTTCGTAGTAGAAGTTCAACGGACTTCTCCCTCGTAGGGCAAGGGTCCTAGTACTAATTTCAGTTCAAAACGAGATTCTGACAGATTATTCGCAGGCATATTTTTAACTTCAATTTACAATTCTTGACACGCACTCGGGTGGGGGTCAAGTTAACTACCCCTGAGGGTTTTTCCGGAATGGTTTTCAAACGGTGCGGCGTATCCACGCCGAATTTTGTTTAACTGTAGACAATTGAATAGCGGGTCGTGTGGTATTAAAAATTGGATGTACATTGTAAGGGTCGCTGACCTACGGCAGGTCAAAGCCAGGAAATGGATTCAGCGGAGTCAATTTGAAGGGAATCGTTCAATCTGATGAAACAACCGAATGTTAAACGAAGTCATGCGTCTCTGACATACTTTCTTAGGCAGCACAACAATTGAATGACCAAATTCCATTGGCTGAGTATGTGACCTTTTGCTTAGAACAGGTATCTAGGTTCTGACGACACTTTGGAGACCAACTTGGAGATAACCTTGTTTGACCTTATTTGACCCGAAGGTCATGACCTAGGAGGCTCAAAATTTGACCTAACGGAGATCACGTACAGGTCAACGCACCCTGTGAATTGAGTGTCTCTAGCAATCCTAGTCCCTGAGATCGCAGGGGGTTCAAATTACCTCCCACCCCCACCCCACCCGAGCGAAGGGTATCCAGCCGGCCACTCAGGCACATGTTAACATAACATCAAACATGTTCAGGTCAAATAGTAATAGCAGTCATTTACACAAGGCTACGAGCTAAGAGTTTCGTGCTTTGCAGACACGTTGTCTTACAGGCGGGCTATCCAAAAGTGTGTTCGATCTTACTTTGTCCCAAAACTCGTTCCTTGCGGTTCCTGTTGTAACCAGGTTCTTGACCAATGTTTTGAAAGCTACGCTTTTTGTTCGGGCTCAACATTTCTGCGAGTTTACGGCTCGAGGATCGGAGACAGCCGACACAGAACAGCCCTGGGGCTCTCGCCAAACTGAGAAGAATACGACGGGGACCACCAGCTGAATGGTGAATATTCTGCTGTCTTCTCAGGCAGCTTCATCTTGTCATCTCCCCGTATCCATATTTATGTTGCGTCATCAAATACCCTGCACAAGGGCAGTGGTATATTTACCTGCGTGGGAGCGGGCATCGGGCCATGCCCTGCCCATTGGGGCCCAACGTGGTTTGGGCTGCCTCGAGAGAGCACCAAAGTCACAGGTTGACCGGGCACGAAAACATTCTTCTTTCTTTCTGATTTCTTTCTTGAGCTTTCTTTCCTTCTGATTTCTCAGTGAGACATTTTGGGTGCCGCAACCTTATTTTCACGAGGCACGAAATCAAAGCGGACCATTTAAACCGCCCAAAGTCCTTATTTCTAAGGAGACTGACATCCAGTGGCACCACAGTTGCTTTATCATTCACCATGACGAAATGCTGTATTTTTTTTCCGGTCGGTGGAGGAACCCCAAAATCTTCGTTTCGGGGCATCATCAAATTTATTGTTCAGAGTCGCCAAATTCCAGTTAGCACCAAAACGGGCCCCGAGAGCTTTTTTTCAAGAGGCTACAAATCCAAGTTACACCAGTCTACCCGTGTCCTTCCATTGACTAAACCCTTGGACGGCCATGCGGCGAAAAAGCACCAAAGCATTGAATTAAGGGCACCATAACATTTGTTCTCTAAAGGCAACAAATTCAAGAGGACCATTCCAAGGAACACGAAGTCTTGATGTCGGGTGGTACCAAATATAGAGGCACCACAATTTATTTGCCCTCCACCCTGACGAAATCCTGGATGAGCTCCACTCGGCGCAGCGGGCAACCGAAGGCTCTCCTTTTGGGGCGTCATAATCTTGATTTACAAGAGGCACCCAATTCCGGAGGACACCACAAAGGGCAGCAAAGCCTTCATTTTCAAGTGACGACAGATTCCAGGGCACCATACATAGCCCAAAGTCTTTATTGTTCAAGAGAAGCCACATAGCATTCAACAACACTCACGGGGCCCACGAACGAAGCACCCGATCGTAGAGTTAGATGGGTAGGCCGTAGGTCATATCCAAGTATCCCAGCCCTGACTCTGAAGTATCAGTAATACGGCCTGTTGCACTGATCGCGTGTCCCCGAGGCAGTGAGGGTCCTCTATCAGCTGACTGAGACCACCGATACCGAACTGTAGATTCCGTGCCGGTCCAAGCCCTAGAGGCCCTTTCCCAAACATTTCCTGAACATGACAACTAACTTTATCATTCCAAAAATTAAAAAAGCCTCAGCCGTTGGTTCGGACCGTTTCGCGGTGACGACACATGAGGAATGACTGCCTAAGGTTTCACTTTCACAGTGAAATAGGGGAGGTATCCTGTGTGAGTCAAAGGTCACAGTACGGAGCGAGGGCCCCTGCGGACAGTTTCAACCAGCGACCAATAAGCCGAATGTCGCAGTACCAATTATTGGACTTCCTGCGCTAGAAATGGGTCCCTTGGCGTAAGTGAGGGCCGATGCGTCGATCCAGGGCCAGGTGCTCGGGTCGCAGGACTTGTCGCACCAGGGAGGGAACCCGCGCAGTGTGTGATGTATCCCTCTGGGAGCCTCCAGATCGACCAGGGAGGCACGGTCTCCGTATCGCCAGAATGGCAGCTGCTGGATACCCCGGGCCAGGCCGGAAGGGTGATTCAGGCCCTGACCAGAAAATTTCGGCCTGTTTTTCCAAGCTGATGCTCTGAACGAAATTAGTAGTTCCAGTAACACGGCTGATACATATTGAGGCACTGCGTCATGGGTTGATGTTGCTGTAGGGGCTAATCCGTCATGAGCGTTGATCCAGAAGCCACACAGGTGAAATCTCATGTCCGGGATATATAACACGCATAAGAGTCGATTTCGTAAAACGTTTGGCTCCAGGTTCCGGGAACACAACAGTGAAGTGCGGTCCCTCCCTCGGCAAAGTTCTGGATCCGTCCCTGATTAGCTGTTACTTAAATATATTAATGCAACAACATTTGATACATTATGCCTGTGAACACCATAATTAATACTCAATGTGCAACAGCATCGTGCAGAACTGTACAGTCATTTTGTACTGTGTTGATGCAGATGAGTGATTTACCCATTTCTGGAATGAGGTGGATCTTTATTTTTGTCGCAGGAGTAATATTCATCGTGCATTTCTTGCTTGCTCTTTCAGCCGGCTCTCGCTGACTCACTGGCTCGTGAATCGTGGCTCATCTGGTCGCTATGGATTAATGCATAGAGTTCGTGGGCCTGCCAGGCGGGGGGGGGGGGGGGAGGGAGGGGGAGGAGGCAGCGGTCCTCCCGGCACCTATTGCGCGTCGTCCTCTCCCCCGACCCTGGTGGCGCTGGTGGCGTCTATGCCACACGTAATATAAGCCGGTTACTGCCTTGCCCCTGGCTACCACCTTGTCCTTCTCGCACGGCCGTCCCGCGACCCCCACGGCAAGCGAACAATCGTGAACTCTTGTAACTGCTCATGTCTAAGCTGGAGCTGAGGTCAAATATTAATTACATCCAGGTTTCAGCAGCTTGCTGTTGGACTTTTCCTCAGATGCGGCTGCTGTGGACACATTGGTGCTGACATAACCTGTTCCGAGCTGTCGGGGACAACAACCTGCAGCCGAGGCTTGTGGTCTGGCCGAAAGCCGCTTTACCGTGGAGGCGGAGGAGATGACGGTGGAGAAGGTGCAGGGCATAGTGGCGGCCGCTCTGCTGCAGGAGTTATCATACACGTTCTTCGCTCAACCACTGGGCCCGGTCGAGCGCCACCCGCCACACGTCTTCCTGCAACACTTTTTGCTGCAGGTGCGTGATTGCGTAGTTGTGTCCGGGCCGTGCTGGACTCTGCCCGGAATGCGGGATTTAAGGGAAGAGGGCACAAGGGAGCTTGCCGATCGGTAGTGATGACACGCAGGTCCAGTGAGTGCGCGAGGCGCTGAAGCGTCATTGATAGTTGACGCGGCTTTGTCTTGTGGCTGATTTTGGAACACGATCTTATGTCGTGTGTCGTACTGCCGCGGGATGTGTCGTTCTGCTGTGGAAAACGTTCTGTCGTTCTGATTGAGATGCGTAGTTCTATTGCGCTGTGTCATGGCTATACAAGTTTGTTTGCAATGCTGATTTGAAAGTTTTGGTTTTTGCCGTCATCGTATGTCAAGAGAGACGCGTCGCTTTACCATGGAGCGCGTTGCTCTACTATGTAATACGTCATTCAATTGTGGATGCGTTGTTCTGCTGTGCCGAGTTCCGACGACACGACATTGTGCTGTGACGCGTTTCCGGCGTATGCAGATGGAGATGCGTTGTTTTTACTGTGGAATGAGTAAATCTGCTAAGATGCGTCGTTCTGTTGTTCCTATACATATGCGCCATTCTGTTGGCTTACGTTGTAACCACACTGTTTGTGTTATTACGCTGATCTGAACGTTTTTGTTTTTGTCTCTGGTGGGCTTCGATGGAGATGTAAAAACATATTGCAT